GTCATTTTGTCACTATGCTCGCTATTATTTTCTTGTATTTTACATGTACTTTTTTGAACGATACAAAATGTATCGTTTTGCTCGAATTTTTACGAGCAAAGCCACTCGCGATTTTATTCGCGATTCGAGATTTTTATGCCCTCCCTATTAAATTTCGCGATTAGAGATTTTATTAAATTTTGAGATTAGAGATTTTTGTATCCCTTCGCGATTCGAAATTTTTATGCCCTCCCAATTAAATTTCGAGATTAGAGATTTTTGCATAATTTCACGATAAATTTTGAGATTAGAAATTTTTGTATCCCTTCGCGATTCGAGATTTTTACGCCCTCCCAATTAAATTTCGAGATTTTTGCATAATTTTACGATCAAATTTTGAGATTAGAGATTTTTGTATCCCTTCGCGATTCAAGACTTTTATGCCCAGCCAATTAAATTTTGAGATTAGAGATTTTTGTATCCCTCCGCGATTACATTATGAAATTAGAAATTTTTGTACCCCTTCGCGATTATATTACGAAATTCGAAATTTTTGTATCCCTTAATGATTTTATTTCGAGATTCGATATTTGCATATCCCTTCGCGATTTTAATTTCCCCCAATTTTATGTGTTAATTATTTTTCTCTGTTTCAGAAATTGATTTTGAATGAATTGTTTTATTGTTGATTGATTTTTAATTTGTAATTTTCATTGTGTTTTTTGTTTCTCGATAGCGTTGTTTCACTTCTACTCCTACAATTGTTGTATAGGTTAATAAAATTTTGTATGTTTCAGATTTCATTTTTTGTAAGTTATGTTGTTCTTTCTTTTCAAATTTTTGTTTTAATAAAATTTTATGTGTTTCAGAATTTAATTTTTGGTAAGTTCTTACATTGTTCTCTCTTCTTAAATTTCTATGTTAATAAATTTTTGTCTGTTTCAGAGTTTAATTTTTGGTAAGTTCTTACATTGTTCTCTTTTCTCAAATCTCATTGCTAATAGATTTTTGTATGTTTCAGAATTTTATTCTTGGTAAGTTACGTTCTCTCCTCTCAAATTTCTGTGCTAATAAATTTTTATACGTTTCAGCATTTAATTTTTGGTAAGTGCATTGATTTCCGAGCTTGTGGGAGGAAGGGTGGGCTCGGGCGCAGGTTTTTCGTCACATGTGGCGAAAAGCTTGCGCATATTGTAAGTGCCTTTTGTTCTAACTTGCACTCATCTTAACGACAATTTTTTAACTTGTTAGATATTAGTTTGTAGTAGTAGCCTATAATTTTTATTATCAATTGCTTTAAACTTAAAAGAAAGTTCTTCCAACTTTCTTCTTTTACCCTTTTCTTTACTTACTTTTACATTATACGAGTGCAATTTTAGAACAAAAGGTACATTTAGGGCTTTTTGTATTGTAGTATGTTTCATATTTGTTCTAATTATTTTTTGTATGTTTCAGGTTTTAATTTTATGTAAGAAATTTATTTATTCATATGTGTCTTAATTGCATTTGTATGTTTCAGGTTTCTATTTTAATTAAGCAATTGAATATTCCTCAAGTATATTGTATATTTTACAGGTGTGTTTCTACTGAGTCGACTGGAGATTTTTATTCCGAAAATGTTAATATGAATTTTGCACGTTAGCATAAATTGTGCATGTCTAAACATTATAATGTTACTAATATTGCATTTGCTTCTCTGTTTCCTCTTTTTAATGTTACGACCAATTATTTTGCAGGTAATGAATAGTCCATCATTGAAGACATCGATCATCGAGGGATCATCGAGGGATGCGTGCGCTAGTTTTAAGTTATTTTATGCGTGCTTTAGTTTTAAGCAAATTTTATGCGTGCGTTAATTGTAAGTTAAGTGTGCTCGTGGGCAGGGCGGGTGGGTCCTTGTAAGTGCCTCTCATTCTAAATTGCACTCATCTTCTCAATTCTCAAACTTTGTACGCGTTAGCTTGTAGTATACCCCGTTATTTTTTGTCAATCGTTCTGCGCCCAAGTGGATCAT